TGTTACGTTAACAGACAATGTTAACATTAATGTTGGAAGTTCTGATTCAATAACAGAAACTATTGCCAACCCTGTTTCTATGACAAAACAACTTAACAGTACCCAAGTTGACGACCCAGAAAAAGCTTCTGTAAAACCCTCTGTTATGTTAACTGACAGTGTTAACAGTAATGTAGAAAGTTCCGATTCCATAACAGAAACTATTGCCAAACCTGTTTCTTTGACAAATCTCCATAACAGTGTCCGATTTGATCGTTCTGAAAAAGCTTCTGTAAACCCCTCTGTTATGTTAACCGACAGTGTTAACAGCAATGTTGAGGGCTCAGCTTCAACAACACAAACAGTTAAAATGCATGCATCGCTAACAGATCTCAGTAATGGGGGTGTAGATATTCCTATTGCCATAACAGATTCTGTTAACGACCTCATAACATCTAAAGGTCCATTGGCCACAAAAATGGACAGAGCTGTCAATAGTTTCAAAAACAAAGGTACGGAAATCTTTGAGAGTCATGGTGAGATCACTGATAGTTCTGCAGCCATAACAAATTCTGTTAACTCGCACATAACTGCTGATGGTCTACCGGCCACACAAGTTAACAGTGCTTTAAAAAATTCCGAAAGCAAAGCTTCAGAAAGTTTTGAGCAACACCGTGAGACCACCGACAGTGGAAAAGTAATGTCAGATGAAATCTCAAACCAGAACCCTGGTTCGGGCGATTCTAATGAAAATTTCCATGAAGACTCCTTGGAAAATTCTGAAAGTGGATCTGAAGAAAATATGGATTCAGAATCGAAAATCTACGATAATGAAAATCGTAACAAGGAAAATATTGAACCAGAAGAAAATGTTAAAAATGAATTTAATATTCCAACTTCTGCCAATACCGATAACGACGAAGTCAATGAGGATACTGAAAATGCCAATTTTGACACCTTAAAAATCCTGAAAGCCCCTAGGAATTTGAATAAGGGAAATCTGATAAGGAGTTTAAAAAACCATGAAATTAAAATTGGATATTCAAATTCCAAAAATTCCTTGAAAAACAATCAAAAAACTCAGAAAAATACAAAATCTGACAATATTTCGAAAAACGGGGATAAAGAAAACGAGCCAAATCTCAATATGAGACAAGGTGTCATTGGAAGCCCCGAAAGCCCCCAGAAAAATCCTAAACCTTACACTTCTGATTTCCCAAGGAAAAATAGCTTCGTTAAGAATAAGAACCAACAACAAGGTTTGATACCAAATCTTCTAACGGCCGTCAAAAATATACTTCTTTCGTAATAGAGAAAACCTCCACCTAACGATAACGAAAATGAAGAGGGTGACTGGTGACAAATTGATGAAATAATAAATAAACAAAAAAAAAAAAAAAACAAAAATATTATTTGGAGCCAAGACAAAGAAGATATGGAAGATGGAAGATAATGCCATCGAAATTATATGTTCCGATATATTGTTATTATAAACCACTCCCCCCAAAATCAAATGCACTTGTACAAACATTATATGAAAATGTTTACGAATAAAAAAATATTATACTCAAAGTTATTCTTTGTATTTTAACAATAGTTTTGAAATACTTCTGACAAGGTTTTTTGTTTAAATAAATTAAATAATAGTCAATTTGGACAAAGTGCATTGTTAGTGAAAAACTGAATTCATTGGAGAAGTTGACTTTTATCCATTCAAATATTATGTACCTGTTCTATACAAATACATTTTTATAACTTTTCTATAATATTTTAATAAAAATAAGAAACAAATTTTAAGACCTTTCCTTTGTTTTCATTATAACTCAGTCGATCAACTAACAAGTAAAAAAGCTGTAAATTCGGCCGGGCCGAATGAATACCCTCCACCATTTGAAACGAATTTGGCAATTTTCATAAACAACAAAATCCCCTAAAATCTAAGAAATACCGAATGCAGCCATTATATTATACGACGACATGGACCGGCATACGTAATTTTTTTCATAAGCCATTACAATATTCAAATGCGAAACTTAGAAAAAAAAATCTGTGAATAATGTAGCTACAGTCATCAAAATGCCGATTATCGGGAGGTACCGTTATATGGGGGCTATACGAAGGCGTGGGCCTGCACAAACAATTTTCTGCCTTAGGATTTAGTATTCATTGCGAACTTCAAATACCAAACTCGAAACAATTCCGGCGAATAATGTCGCTAAAATCATCAAAATAGCGAATATCGGGAGGTACCTTTATATGGGCCATACGAAGACGTGGGCCTGTACAGACAGTTTTCTGTCTTAGGCTGTAGTATCCGTTACGAACTTCAAATAGCAAATTCGAAACAATTCCGGCGAATAATGTCGCTAAAATCATCAAGATACCGAATTTCGGGAGGTACCGTTATATAGGGGTTATACGAAGACGTGGACCTGCACAGACAATTTTCTGTCTTAGGCTGTAGTATTCATTACGAAATTTAAACACCAAATTTAAAACAATTCCGGTGAATAATCTCGCTAAAATCATCAAAATGCCGAATGTAGGGAGGCACCGTTATAAGGGTTCGGAAAAATTCTAAGACGATTTAGCCATGTCCGTCTGTGTGACTGTCTGCCTCCCGATATTCCGTATTTTGATGATTTTAGCGACATTATTCACCGGAATTGTTTCAAATTTGGCATTTAAAGTTCGTAATGGATACTACAGCCTAAGACAGAAAATTATCTGTGCAGGTCCACGTCTTCGTATAGCCCCCATATATTCGGTATTTTGATGATTTTAGCTACATTATAAACAGATTGTTCTTCAAGTTTCGCATTTAAATATTGTAATAACTTATGACAAAAGTTGCCTATGCAGGTCTACGTCGTCGTATAGGCATTCGGTATTTTTAAGATGTTAACAAAATTTTGAACGGATTTTATTTTTTTTTTTCGGAATTGCCAAATTTGTACCAAATGGTGGAGGATATTAAAAGTTCGGCCAGGTCGAACTTACAGCCTTTTTACTTGTTTAGCGTGACATTATTTCATTTTTTTTCTCCAGGCAGTATAGACTCGATTTGCCTAAAGAATTTCAAGGGAATTACTTTCAAAAAAAAAAAAAAAAACCTGAAAAGTTAAAAGCCCGCGGGGCCGAAATGATACCCTACACCACTTAGTAGGGCTCCGACAGATTTAAGTTTTTTTTTTTTGGGGTGTTTTAGTCCCACTTTTTTTACCAGAATTTTCTGTAAATTTTCTGTTAAAAATATCCCTGCGTAGAGCTGGTAGGTGTGTCAATATAGCTCTAAGTTTTGGTATAGTCCTCATAAAATTGCCTGTGAAAAAATGAGACGTCTTCGTATAACGGTAACTACACATATCCGATATTTTTATGATTTCGGCAGTATTTTTCAACGGATTTTTTTGAATATTTGGAAATTCCTTCTAAATGGTATTCATGGTATTCAAAATTCGTCTCGGGCATATTTGCTGCTTTTGTTTTTTGATTTAAACCCTCAGCCGGCTATACAGGGTATATATTTTTCAATGCGGACAAGACGTACCTCATCCAAATAACGGTTTTAGACATTAGGTCTCTTTGGACCAATTCCGTTTCGGGACATTTTGAGACGATCTAGCGATGTCTATCCATCCATCTGACTCTGGCTGCATGATGCGCACGATAACTCTCGAAGGGAGTATCCGATTTGGTACAAACTTAGTACATCGTAATATTTTTGTCAAACTTAGATCGAGTTCGAAGATGGGCAAGATCGATCAACTACTTCTGGTACCTCCTACACAAAATATCAATATTTCCACAGAAAATAATTTATTGGCCAGAAAGAGAAAGGAAAATTGGATTTTGCCCTAACTTTGCAAATCCTAATTTTTTGCATCAGGGATATAGGTCAGGTGCAAAAATGAACAATATCGGTCCACGCCATCAGGCACTTACCCCACAAAGGGTCAACATTTTGAACAATTATAAATTTTGTAGAATGTGATGTAAGTGTCCGATTGCCTTCAAATTATATACATCACAATATTTTATTAACCCAAGATTTGGTGTGAAGATGGAATATATCGGCCTACTTCTTGTGGTATCTCCCCCACAAAGAGTTAATATTTTTAAGATTGATGAAGCTCATAAAATACGAAATTAGCATCCGATTCCATTTGGACTTGGCACATCTAAATATTTCTATTAGCGCAAGATTTGTTATTAAGATGGTACATATCGGATCATTCCTTCTGGAACCTCCCCCACAAATGATACAAATTTCCAATAACTAAAACGATTATATGGTCCGAAATATACTTCTGATATACTTCCGTTATTTTTACTAACACAAGATTTACTGCGAAGATGGGATGTATCGGTCCCACCCCACAAAAGGTCAAAATTTTGAATATCCATGGAGCTCATATATAGTAGAATTTCACGATAAATAATTTCGAAGAATGTAGAATGTACGGAATCTCAATTTGAATATTTCCAAAGTGTGGTTGTGGAATCCGCAACCTTATTGCGGTAGTACCCAAAACAGATCAAAGACCCACTGTTCTAATTGGCGTGCCTCCTCGTATGATGATCCCAACGACATATATGACTTTTCCAAACGCATTTGTGGTAATTTTCCATTTGAAGTTCTCGATGAGTACTCCACATTACCATATTGATTCGGCCTATTGTTTTGTTGTGGTACAACATATTTGGTAAATTTTCTTACCTTCTTTACCTATTTTCAATGTTTCCATTAACATTTTCTTGAGGTCATATTGATTTAGGTAGGTGTGTTTCTTAATGAAATAAATTTGACTATTAAATGTTTGCTTAGTAATGGTTATGTAAACTATTACAATTTGGGTTAATTTTTAAAAAAATTTGGGTTAAAAGTAAAAAATTACATGCCTCCCAAGAAAAAGAAAAAAAATGGTTTAAATAGCTTGTCAATCGAACGAAACAGTCATCAGTTCCTCTTCGATTCTTTAAGTGACAACACAGACTATTATTGCTTTGAAAAAGGAAAGATGGGTTTGAAAGTCGCAATGCTTTTGTGTGTAATGCTGGTGGCATTCCATTCGATTAATTGTCAGGATGGAACGGGTGGTACCGGAGGTACTGGAGGCGGCACTGGTGGTACCGGAGGCGGCACTGGTGGTACCGGAGGCGGTACTGGAGGTACCGGAGGCGGCACTGGAGGTACCGGAGGCGGTACTGGAGGAACCGGAGGCGGTACTGGAGGTACCGGAGGCGGTACTGGAGGTACCGGAGGCGGTACTGGAGGTACCGGTGGCGGCACTGGAGGTACCGGTGGTGGTACTGGAGGCACTGGTGGTACTGGAGGCACTGGAGGCACTGGCGGTACTGGAGGTACTGGCGGCACTGGTGGTACCGGAGGCACTGGAGGTACTGGTGGTACTGGCGGCACAGGCACCGGTACTGGAACAGGCACTGGAACCGGAACAGGCACCGCAACAGGCACTGCCACTGGTACCGGCACTGGCACAGGCACCGGAACAGGCACCGGAACAGGCACTGGTACAGGAACTGGTACTGGTACTGGCACTGGCACTGGCACCACAGGCACAACCACAACTGCCACAACGACGCCTACTGGCACAACACCTACCACACCAACTACAACCCCCACCACACCAACAACGCCCACGACACCAACTACACCCACAACACCCACCACCCCTACAACACCAACAACACCAACAACACCGACGACACCCACAGTACCCACAGTACCAACTACCGGCACCACCATTACACCAACCACAGCTCCTGCCACACCCGCCCCACCAGCTTTGGGTCACAAACACAAATTTTTAAATTTACTTTTTGGCGGTAAATTGCAAGGATTGAAAGGATAATGGATGAATAGATAATGTAAAGGACAATCGTATTAAATGTTTGTAGATTGAAAATATATGTGTATATACTTCACGAAGTTGGTTTTATTTGTAAATGTAAAAGGAACAAATAGATCTTTTAGGTGCAATTAACTCGTGCCTGTTGAGAATTACTTCATTTGGGTGGTCGGATGTTCTATTTAACGCTTTTTAAAAAAATCCACGTTTACAGGTCTGATAGGCCTTGGAAAAAAATCTTTAAAAAATCCTCGTTTACAGGTCTGATAGGCCTTGGAAAAAAATCTTTAAAAAATCCACGTTTACAGGTCTGATAGGCCTTGGAAAAAAATCTTTAAAAAATCCACGTTTACAGGTCTGATAGGCCTTGGAAAAAAATCTTTAAAAAATCCACGTTTACAGGTCTGATAGGCCTTGGAAAAAAAATCTTTAAAAAATCCACGTTTACAGGTCTGATAGGCCTTGGAAAAAAATCTTTAAAAAATCCACGTTTACAGGTCTGATAGGCCTTGGAAAAAAATCTTTAAAAATCCACGTTTACAGGTCTGATAGGCCTTGGAAAAAAATCTTTAAAAAATCCACGTTTACAGGTCTGATAGGCCTTGGAAAAAAATCTTTAAAAAATCCACGTTTACAGGTCTGATAGGCCTTGGAAAAAAATCTTTAAAAAATCCACGTTTACAGGTCTGATAGGCCTTGGAAAAAAATCTTTAAAAAATCCACGTTTACAGGTCTGATAGGCCTTGGAAAAAAATCCACGTTTACAGGTCTGATAGGCATTGGAAAAAATTCTTTAAAAAATCCACGTTTACAGGTCTGATAGGCATTGGAAAAAATTCTTTAAAAAATCCACGTTTACAGGTCTGATAGGCATTGGAAAAAATTCTTTAAAAAATCCACGTTTACAGGTCTGATAGGCATTGAAAAAAATTCTTTAAAAAATCCACGTTTACAGGTCTGATAGGCATTGGAAAAAATTCTTTAAAAAATCCACGTTTACAGGTCTGATAGGCATTGGAAAAAATTCTTTAAAAAATCCACGTTTACAGGTCTGATAGGCATTGGAAAAAATTCTTTAAAAAATCCACGTTTACAGGTCTGATAGGCATTGGAATAAATTCTTTAAAAAATCCACGTTTACAGGTCTGATAGGCATTGGAAAAAATTCTTTAAAAAATCCACGTTTACAGGTCTGATAGGCATTGGAAAAAATTCTTTAAAAAATCCACGTTTACAGGTCTGATAGGCATTGGAAAAAATTCTTTAAAAAATCCACGTTTACAGGTCTGATTGGCATTGGAAAAAATTCTTTAAAAAATCCACGTTTACAGGTCTGATAGGCCTTGGGAAAAATTCTTTAAAAAATCCACGTTTACAGGTCTGATAGGCCTTGAAAAAAATTCTTTAAAATATACACGTTTACAGGTCTGATAGGCCTTGGAAAAAATTCTTTTAAATATCCACGTTTATAGGTCTGATAGGCCTTGGAAAAAATTCTTTAAAAAATTCACGTTTACAGATCTGATAGGCCTTGGAAAAAATTCTTTAAAAAATCCACGTTTACAGGTCTGATAGGCCTTGGAAAAAATTCTTTAAAAAATCCACGTTTACAGGTCTGATAGGCCTTGGAAAAAATTCTTTAAAAAATCCACGTTTACAGGTCGGAAAAAATTCTTTAAAAAATCCACGTTTACAGGTCTGATAGTCCTTGGAAAAAAATTCTTTAAAAAATCCACGTTTACAGGTCTGATAGTCCTTGGAAAAAAATTCTTTAAAAAATCCACGTTTACAGGTCTGATAGGCCTTGGAAAAAAAATTCTTTAAAAAATCCACGTTTACAGGTCTGATAGGCCTTGGAAAAAAATCGTAAAAAAATCCACGTTTACAGGTCTGATAGGCCTTGGAAAAAATTCGTAAAAAATCAACTTTTGTAGGTCTGATAGGCCTTGGAAAAAAATCTTTAAAAAATCCACGTTTACAGATCTGATAGGCCTTGGAAAAAATGCTTTAAAAAATCCACTTTTATAGGTATGATAGGTATTTTTTCTTTTCACGTCGTCCTTCTAAAATCATGCTGTTTTGACAATATTCGCACCAACTCACTAAGCGCGCCTGTTACACTAAAATATATTTTTTTTTTGTAATATTTATGAATTCCTGGCGCTAGGTAAGATTTTGAACACTTGTTGCTTTCCAGGTCAACCATTATTTTGACTTGCTAGGATTCCATTTTAAGTGAATTTTCAACCATATTTTTAAAAAAGGACCAAAATTACCCATTTATTGACTCGTTTTTGGTTAACATTTTCCTCTGAAATATTCCTCTATTTTGTTGCTCCAATATTGCCGAAGACGGAAAATATCTGAAAATTCACGAATTCCGAAAAATCTTCTTTCGCAAAATTTCCAAAACTATTTAGGAAGGAGGAATTTGTCCCCTCGATACAAGTCTCTTCTTTCTTTAGCCCTCACTTTCGTAATCTACTGGATTTTCCAATTAAAAAAAAATTAATTTTTCTAGCACAATGTAATTGAAGTTTCATATTTGCGAATCTGAAAAATATATATTTATTAAAGAGCAAGGATAACTATAACCCAAAAAACTAAGTCCAAAAAATCGTAGGGTGCTCGGTAGTGAATATATCTCTACTGAGATATATGACAAACGAAGTGCCTTTATATCCATAAATATTAACATCAAACCAAAATCCTTCATCCTGATTTTACAAATATCAATTCCTATCCTGAATTCAAAAAATTTAGGCAAAATTAATAACAATTTAATAAGATTTTAATTTTTTATTATATTTTTAAACAATATCGAGTGTTACAGCTATTTATCCCTTCAATTTATTTCCGAACAGCAATTGGAAGAATTTATGCTTGTGTCCCAAAGCAGGTGGGGCGGGTGTAGCTGGAGCTGGAGCTGTTGTGGGTGTAATAATGGTTCCGGTAGTTGGTAGTGTGGGTGTGGTAGGTGTTGTTGGTGTTGTGGGTGTAGTAGGTGTGGTAGGTGTAGTGGGAGTTGTTGGTGTTGTGGGTGTTGTTGGTGTGGTTGGGGTTGTAGTTGGTGTAGTGGGTGTTGTTGCAGTAGGCGTTGTTGCCGTTGTGGTTGTACCTGTGGTGCCCGTAGCAGTACCAGTACCAGTTCCTGTACCAGTGCCTGTTCCGGTGCCTGTTCCGGTGCCGGTACCAGTGGCAGTGCCTGTTGCTGTGCCTGTTCCGGTTCCAGTGCCAGTGCCTGTTCCAGTACCGGTTCCTGTGCCAGTACCACCAGTGCCACCAGTACCGCCAGTGCCTCCAGTACCGCCTGTACCACCAGTGCCGCCGGTACCGCCAGTGCCTCCAGTACCACCAGTGCCTCCGGTACCACCAGTGCCTCCGGTACCACCAGTGCCTCCAGTACCGCCAGTGCCTCCAGTACCGCCGGTACCACCACCGGTACCTCCGGTACCACCACCGGTACCTCCAGTGCCACCACCGGTACCTCCAGTACCACCACCTGTTCCGCCGGTACCTCCTCCAGTTCCTCCAGTACCGCCTCCGGTACCACCAGTGCCGCCTCCGGTACCACCAGTGCCGCCTCCTGTACCTCCAGTACCACCCGTTCCATCCTGACAATTAATCGAATGGAATACCACCAGCATTACAAACAAAAGCATTGCAACTTTAAAAGCCATGTTTTCTTTTTCAGCGGAACAATAGGCTGTATTGTTACTTGTCAAACAATGGAAGAGGAAATGATGTCTGTTACGGCCAAATGCCAAGATATTTAAAGCATCATTTTTTCGGAGGGCCTGTAATGTATCTTGTTTGTTTTGTTTTTTTAAAATGTAAATAAACGGGAACCTAATTTGTAAAGGGCAAACTTTTCTGGATGTGTTTACATTACATTTGGTAAACACAATGACAGTTCAATTTATGTCATTGAGAAACACACCTCCTTAAATCAATATGAGCTCAAGAATATTTTTTTTTGAAAAAAAAAAAAATATGTTCTACTATAGTTCGCCATGGCAACACATTAAGCCGTAGTTAAAGTGGAGATCTGGGTTAAAAAAATGTATTAATTATTGGGTTAAAAAATAAAATTAATTTGAAAATGACATTAGTTCGAATATGGGTGTTTATAAACATCTTTCTATATTTTAAAATCAGCAAAAAAAAGTTCTAAAGTCGGGCGGGGCCGACTTTATGATACCCTACACCACTTTGCTAATTTAGTAGAGCTCCACATAACAATTACAAGTTTTTATCGGAGAATTCAATCATAAACGCTATGATTATAATTATAATTTAAAGTTTAAAAGACTAAATATGCCGAAGCATTTGTATCTTTTAAAGTCGGACTTGTATTGCCCATTTGGTGCAAAATCAATTTGAAATCAGATAAATATATATATGGGAACTATATCCAAATCTGGACCGATCTCCACAAAATTTGGCAAAGATATTTCTGAGCTGTATTTGATATATTTCCCTGAATATCGTTGTTACGGAGTGCATATTACGCCTGTGGGTAACAAATATAACAAATCGGATGAAAAATATATATGGAAGCTATAGCTATATCTGAACCGATTTTCACAAAATTTGACATACTAGCTTCTAGACTCAATTCTGTCGTGTGTGCCAAATTTCATCCCCTTTTGGGCAAATATAAGACGTTTGAGTTGCACAAGAAAAAGGTAAATCGGACGAAGTTATATATGGGAGATATGTTCCAAATCCGAATCGATCTTGATAAAATTTAGCAAAAGTATTTCTGAGCTGTATTTGATATATTTCCCCAAATATTGCTGTTACAGTGTGCATAATACGGCTGCGGAGATCTAAAATAACAAATCGGATAAACAATATATATTGGAGCTATAGCTATATCTGAACCGATTTCGATCAAATTTGGCATACATATTTTCACCCTAATTTGGGTGTATATGCAAAATTTCATACAAGTCGGGCTGATATTACACGTTTGGTGCACAATAAAAGGCAAATCGGACGAAGATATAAATGGGAGCTATATTTAAATGTTTACCAATTATCTCCAATTTCAATAGGGTTCGTCCTTGAGCCAAACAAATGATTTGTGCGAAATTTCATCTGGATCGGGTAATAAATGCGACATGTACTTTGTTTACAAAAATACATGGACAGACGGATGGACGGACGGACAGACGGACGCACATGCATAAATCGACTCAGAATGTGATTCTATGCAGATCATCAAAAGGAACTTTGGGTCTATATCGTTTCCTTTTGCCTGTTACAAACAAATGCACAAAGACATAATACCCTGACCATCTTGCGGTGCAGGGTATAATAATACCCTGACCAACTTATGGTTTTGGTTATAATGATAAATTACGTGTAGAATCGCTCTACGATAATGATTTGAGTTCCGAAATCATAAGTCGTCACCGACAAATCGAAATAACTGTTTTAGGCTCTAGGTCTCTTTGGAGCAAATCCGTTTCAGAACAATTGGAGTCAATCTAGCGATGTTCTTCCGCCCGTCCGTCCGTCGCACGATAACTCTCGAAGGAAGTATCCGATTTGATCCAAACTTGGCGCATCGTAATATTTTTGTTAAACTTAGATCGAGTTCGGAGATGGGCCATATCGGTCTACTACTTCAGAGAAAAAATAATGCGATTTTGCTCCAACATTGCAAATCCTAACATTTGTGTTAGTGCTAGGTCAGGTGTGAGAATGAACAATATCGGCCTACTTTATTGAGTACCTCCCCCATAAATGTTCAAAATTTTAAATAATCACAACTCTCATAAAATGTGATGTAAGAGACCGATTGTCTTCAAATTTCACACATCCCGATATCTATGTTAGTCCAAGGTCTGGCGTTAAGATGGAATATATCGGAATATATCTAATATATCGGTCCTTCTGGTACCACCTATCCCTCAAACGATCGAAATTTTCGAAAATTTTTTTTTTTTTTGTTTTTCACAGAAAGTGAAACGATGATCCGATTTTGCTCCAAATTTGCAAGTCCTAATATTTGCATCAGTGCTAGCTCTGGTGCGAAAATAGATGGACAATATCGGCCCACTCCTTCTGGTACCTCCACCACAAAAGGTCGACATTTTCAAAAAAATATATATTTTTTGCGCAGAAAGATAAAGGATGATTCGATTTTGCTCCAACATTGCAAATCCAAATATTTGCGTCAGTGCTAGGTCTGGTGTGAAAATGTACAATATCGGTCCACTCATTCTGGTGCCTCCCCCACAAAGGGTCAACATTTTAAATAACTACAACTCTCATAAAATGTGATGTAAGAGTCCGATTGTCTTCAAATTTCCCACATCCCAATACCTATGTTAATCCAAGGTCTGGAATTAAGATGAAATATATCGGTTCACTCCTTCTGGTGCCTCCCCCACAAAGGGTCAAAGTTGTGAGTTACCAAAATGTTTATAAAATCCGAAATACGCATCAGGTTCTCTTCATATTTCACACATCCCATTATTTCCACTAACAAAAGATCCGCTGTGAACATGGGATATGTCGGTTTACACCTTCTGGTATCTCCCCATAAAAAGGCTCAACATTTTGAATGAGGGTATACATCTGTCGGCAAACCCGACAGAGACTTTTTAAATTGTTTTAATTAAATTCTTCGATTTTCCAGAAGTGTGTGTATTTTTAGGGGGGCGTTTTTTTATTACTGTCAGATTAATCTCCTACTACCTACACCAAAAATTTGTTTGTAATTTTACCCTTTTCATACATAAATATTTTTTCGAAAAATCGAATCAAGGAGCAAAATGGGCTAAGTTTACGAAAAGTTCTAAAGTGGTACCAAACTTCTAAAATGATATCATCTGATAGCATGTGAATGGATAAACTGAAATTTCGGATGAGAATCAAGGTTGGAAAATAAGTTTCATGGCTGAAGGTGGTTTTGAAAATGTGTACTAAGTGTGAGATCTGTACTTAATGGTACTAAACGAGAAATAGTTTGATTTAGTATGAACGGATGAAGCGGAAATTTGTTTTTGGGCATTTCTGTAATAAAGTTGTGTTTTTTTTGGAAATGTGTACTACAAGTGCCCGAAAAGTACTAAATATTGCTATATTTGGTACAATTTGGTATTGGGTGAACAAATGGGGTTTGAAGACAGAAATTTGGTATTAGGGTCACTTTCATATGTAGTCGTGAGAAATGGAGGTTGTCTCGGAAATATGTACTATAATTGTACGAAAAGCAGTGAATGGTACAATATTTGGTGTTGGGTAAAGGAATAGAGATACAATTATGAGATTTAAAAGGAGCTGGTTTGGAAGTGCGTTATATAATTGTACGAAAGTACAATATTTTGGTATTGGGTAGAGGAGTAGCTCAGGAATCCTCAAATTTGTTATTGAAGCCTACGTTGGTGGTAGGCTTGTGATACAGGAGTGAATTTGGAAATGTATTCTACTAGTGCACGAAAGGTACTAAATAGTACCATATTTGATACTATATGGTATTGGATGAACATATAGTGTTTGAAATTTAACAAGTTAAAAAGCAGTAAGTTCGGCCGGGCCGAACTTTTACCCTCCATCATTCGCAACGAATTTGGAAATTTTCAAAAAATAAAATCCTTAACAAATTCTGTTAAAATTTTAAAAATACCGACGACGTGGACATACATAGGCATTGTTTGTCATAGGCCATTACCATATTCAAATTCGAAACTTGAAATAAACGGTGAATAATGTAGCTCAAATCATCAAAATATCATATATAAGGAGGTGCCGTTAAATTGGAGCTGTGCGAAGACCTGGACCAGCATAGACAATTTTCTGTCACAGGCTGTAGAATCCATTACGAACTTCAAATACCACATCTCAAACAATTTCGGAGGGTATTGTACCCAAAAAAAATTTTTTTTTTTTTGGAAAATTTCGACCATTTGTGGGGGATGTACCATAAAGGAGTAGACCGAGGAGGTACTTGATGGACTGGACCGGAGGTACTTGATGGACTGGACCGATATTGTCCATTTTCACACCTGACCTAGCACTGACGCAAATATTATGATATGCAAAATTGGAGCACAATCGAAAACTTGCCAGTACCGGACATTTTTGCCATTTCCATAAATGAACTTGCCTTGTCTATGAAGCCCAAACCCTTTTGCGGATAACTTGGAGGATGATGAATTTTTAAAAATATTTCCTAATATTTTGAGGTAAGATTTTCAGAGGATATTTCCATGAAGATTTTCAATGAAAGTTTATTGCAGCTATTTTTTTTAAAGCTTTATGTATATTTTTTACGAACTCGAAACCAGTTTTGAATTTTTTTTGAAAACAGATAAAATTGAGATGACTTTTTTTCCTAAATAACTGCCATAGCAGTAATCCTGGATTTTAAGTGCATTTCCCTATAAGAATCTTTGAGAGGACTCTCAGGGCGATAATAGAGGAGGATATTTCCATGAAGATTTTCAATGAAGGTTTATCGCAGCTAGTTTTTTTTAAAAGCATTATATATATTTTTTACGAACTCAAAACTAGTTTTAATTTTTTTTTTTTTTTGAAAATTGATAAAATTGTCGATTTTTTTCTTAATAACTGCCATAGCAGTAATCCTGGATTTTAAGTGCATTTCCTTACGAGAATCTTTGTGAGGACTCTCAGAGCGATAATAGAGGAGGATGAAGGTTTAAATCGCAGCTATTTTTTTTTTTTTTAAAGCATTAGATATATTTTTATACGTACTCAAAACTAGTTTTGATTTTTTTGAAAATAGATAAAATTGAGATGACCTTTTTTTTTTCTAAATAACTAAAGTAATCCTGGATTTTAATTGCATTTCCTAACGAGAATCTTTGAGAGGAATACTGGAACATATTTATTATGAGAAATGTTTAGATTCTGGATCATTGAATCTTGAATATTTAAGACATTTATTTCTAAAGGGATGCCAGATTTTTAAGATTATTTTCATGATGACTTGTCAGAGCTTTAATTTAATCCTTTTGTGAAAATTTCGCTTTTTGCGACTTTTAGAAATTTTTCTTTCGGTGACAATACTTTAACTATAAGGGTTGTTCGAGTTATGATTGTAATCATTTTTTTTTACTCCCATGAGTAATTTGATGAAGGATTTTAAGGATATTTTGACGTCGATTTTTAGGGGTATAATTACAGAGCAAAAATCCTCAAAATCTCATATTTCCTTAAAGCCCATCAAAGCTAAAATTTTAAATTTTTACGAGAAATTTTAATAGAATATTCGAACAGCTATACTGCATCTACACAAAAAATGAAGTCTATCATAAGGAATAGGATTATTTTGTTATTATGGAATTTAAAAATTTTTTAAACATTTTTAATTTTATTTTTTTACTCACCGATATAACTTAGGACATCAAAATCATATTTTTTTGAATGACATGCAGAACAATAAATGCGAATTATTCATCGTGATGGAACCTCCATTCCATTCCACATTTACATTATTTCCCATGGATAATTTCGCAAAGTGAATTAGAAATTATCCACAACTTCCAAGAACAGTTTTCAAATATTAACGCCCTTCAGTTACCAATAAAAACAACTTCTTAAATTATATACAGATATATTTTTAATCTACAAACATTTAACACGATCGTCAATAACATTATCTATTCATCCATTATCCTTTCAATCCTTGCAATTTACTGCCAAAAAGTAAATTGAAAAATTGGTGTTTGTGACCCAAAGCTGGTGGGGCGGGTGTGGCTGGTGCTGTGGTTGTTGGGATGATGGTGCCGGTAGTTGGCAGTGTGGGTGTGGTTGGTGTTGTTGGTGTTGTAGGGGTAGTGGGTGTTGTGGGTGTAGTTGGTGTCGTGGGTGTTGTTGGTGTTGTTGGTGTCGTTGGTGTGGTTGGGGTTGTAGTTGGTGTCGTGGGTGTTGTTGCTGTAGGCGTTGTAGCCGTTGTGGTTGTGCCTGTGGTGCCAGTGGCAGTACCTGTTGCGGTGCCTGTTCCGGTTCCAGTGCCGGTGCCAGTTCCGGTACCAGTGCCTGTTCCGGTGCCGGTGCCGGTGCCGGTGCCAGTACCAGTACCAGTGGCAGTGCCTGTTGCGGTGCCTGTTCCGGTTCCAGTGCCGGTGCCAGTACCTCCTGTACCGCCAGTGCCTCCAGTACCACCAGTGCCGCCAGTACCTCCAGTACCGCCTGTGCCTCCAGTACCACCAGTGCCGCCAGTACCACCAGTGCCTCCAGTACCACCGGTACCACCTCCAGTACCGCCGGTACCACCTCCAGTACCGCCGGTACCTCCACCAGTTCCTCCGGTACCACCGCCAGTACCTCCGGTACCACCACCGGTACCTCCAGTGCCGCCTCCGGTACCACCAGTACCGCCACCGGTACCCCCAGTGCCGCCTCCGGTACCTCCAGTGCCGCCTCCAGTACCTCCGGTACCACCCGTTCCATCCTGACAATTAATCGAATGGAATGCCACCAGCATTACACACAAGAGCATTGCAACTTTTAAACCCATCTTTTCTTTCTCAGAGCAATAATAGGCTGTGTTGTCACTTAAAGAATCGAAGAGGAACTGATGATTGTTTCGATCGATTTACAAGCTATTTAAAGCATTTGGTTTTCTTCGGGGGCCTGTAATGTGTTTGTCAAATGTAAATAAAAAAACAATCCATTTTGTAATGGCTTACCGTTATATTTTCTGGTTATATTTACATTAAATTTGTAAACAATAGCTGTTACATTTATTTTTCTAAGAAACACACCTCCATCCGTCAATATGACCTCAAGAAATGTTTAAGAAGACATCAAAAAAAAATAAATAATAAATAACGAAATGTTCACATCCATGTCCTAAGCCCTCTCCAATGTTGGGATCTGGGTTAATATTCTGTTGTATTCTTTGAGAATTTTTTCTTGAAAATTACAGCAATTTTGGAGGGAAAAATAGCGTTAAGTGAAGTTAAGATGCGTTTCTTTAGAAATGTGTATAAGGTACTCGAACAGGTTTATAAAAATTGCAATTTAAGCTCGGTATCCTCTCGACAGCATTTTCTGTTGGAAAATGTCAGATGCTATATTTCGTATTTATATTCCATATTTCAGGTGGTAGCTTCCTGAAAAAGTCACCTTCATAAGAAAATAAAAATCATAAAAATATGCGTACCATTTTGGGTAGAATATTTTTTTTTGACATCTCCCACCTAAAACGAAATTCAACGATACTTTTAGGCTTCGAATAGAAAAAATTCCGAGAAAAATTTGATCAAAAAATTTGGGATTAATTTTGGATTTTTTTTGTCGAATATTGATGTAAATTTTTTTCGATATGCAATGGATATAGGGATATCTTTTCTTTTGTGGCTCATAGTAAAATTTGATGAAGAAATTTTTTTTCTTTGACATCATCCTTCGGAAGCATTGTTTCTTCAATTTAAAATTAATGAGATGCTCATTTCGTATTCTATGACCTTCATAGTAGGGGGAAGTTGAAATTAGGAGTGGCCCGATGTCTACGCGCTTCACAACAGATCTTATGAAATATTGAGTGTGAATTTTGAAGACAATCGAACACTTAAAATTTGGAAATTCCACATCTTGCCTTTCAGATTTTCGGAATTTCCAAATTTTAAAGAAAATCGAATGGTTCTTTCTCCTTCCGTTAAGTAAAATATTGCCTGATTGCTTAAGTCTGGAGTATTCCCCCCCTTGGCTTAACTTCAAATTTCTCTCTACAAAAAATAGCAATGTTTTTCGAAACGAAACTGACATTTGTGCTCGGCTACAGTCGAGCGGGGCCGACCGTTGAATACCCTACAACACTATAATAAACCATACAGTTTATATAGGCGAAATACTCGACAGATATTGTGACAAATAGTAAAAGAAAATCATCAGGTTTCGTTCTCTATTTTTCGAATAATAGCAACTTAAACTAATTTGCTCATTTCCAATTTATTGGTAGATGTTGCACTTAAATGGTCTTCCTAGATCTGGAACCAATATTTCCCAAAGACCTACAATCTCTCAAAAGTGGCAAAAAATTAACATTTATTATTGGTTTTTGACTGAAACGCATCTATATGAGATACAGACATTTGACTATATTCTTCAACGAAATCAGCGTTAACGAAATAGTGTCTTTCAGAAGTGTGTCTTTCCTTTATTTGTTAATTCTCCAAAAAGTCACTGGAATGAACATTTTCGTATTTTGTCTACAAAAGTTGGCAAACTATTTCACACATTGAATATTTTTGGATGGCCATCCAAAACTGCTTGGCTTTTGTAATGTCCGGTAACCCCAATTCAAATGTGCGTGAGGATCGGGCGATAATTACGACCTGCGGACAATTTTGAATTTTTTTTGGTCCATTTCAACCCCTAAATATAAATATTCTGACCCTCATCTTATCCCCATGCAAAATTTCGTAAGGATCGGGCCATAAATGAGATCTGTATATGATATCCTGATATCCTAACCACTTAGTTTTGTTAGCTGTAGAAATATTACCAAATGTTTAATTCAAAATGAAAATATGCCAAAAATATGACAAAATTGAAAAAATATTGAGAAAATTTTAAAAAATCAATATTTTCATCTTTAGAGAGATATTTTTATGCGATTTGTTAAACGTTTTTTCTTTCCTGCCAAGAGGCCATTCTGAATTAATGAGAACTGTCGAAATCAGTTCAGACGTTCTCGACATATAAGAGATCTTTCAAGCATATCTCCTTTGATAGACATATATATCGCACATATTTTGTTATATATCCGATTTGTTGGATGTTAACATCAATGTAAAGGTCAGAAGTAACCTTGTGATGGCTTTGTGATTTCGCCGGAATTTAAAATATTCGCGGTTTAATGAAAAATTTTGAATTTTTTTCAACACAAAGTATATGGTCTATTTTACCCGTTAAATATTATCCGATTACCACCCAAATTGGTAGGCTTCTTCCCCGCCTTAAACTCTAACTACATGCGAAATTCCACGTCGATTGGTCTATAATTGCGACCTGTATAGCTACTGCAAAATCCGACATTTTTTCAGTATTTGGTCCATTTCAACCCCTAAATATTTGGCGATCATCTCCAAAAGAAATAGGGTTCTATTCTGACCTTAACCCCACCTACATTCTAAATTTCGTGAAGATCTGGCCATAATTGCGACCTGTAGAGTGATTACAAATTAACATGGACAGGCGGACGGACGGACAGACGGACGGACGGACATACATAGTTCATAGCTATCGACTCAGCTCGGCGAGCTAGGAAGATCCATATATACTTTCCTATATGGGAAACCAATATTTCGAGGTGTTACATAAATTCTGGCCCAATCAAACTTATAATACCCTCAACACATAGTGTTGTAGGGTATAAAAATAGCAATGTTTTTCGAAACGAAACTGACATTTGTGCAATATTTGCTGATAGCTAGCAATATCATGATTTCATACCTTCCAAGGCAATGGTCATTTGTCATGTCATATAAGTGTCATGTCATTCACAAGTTTATGAGAATCTCACTAACTTCTTGCCTTTCCCACAAAATCAACATAACAAAATTCTGCAAAGACAACCAGTACATTTTCAACTCAGAACTCATCGAATTCTGTGAATTAAAAGTAGGAAAAATGCTGTACCTTCGCAGGGCCGGACTTTGAATACCCATCACAATTTGGAACGATTTTGGCAATTTTCAAAAAAAAAATAAATAAAATCCGTTAAAAATTCTGTTAAAATCTTAAAAATACCGAATGTAGCCGTTACATGAGGGTCTATACGACAACGTGGACTTGCCATAAGGCATTACAATATTTAAATGCAAAACTTGGAAAAAAATCGGTGAATAATGTACCTAAAATCATCAAAATATCGAATATATGGACCTCCCTATATATAAAACCAAAACGTGAATCTGCACAGACAATTTTGTAATTTCGACCTGTATATAATGCTCTCAACACATAGTGTTGCAGGGTGTAGAAAAAATTAAGAAAATGTACAATTCAATATTTTAAGTCAAATTAAAAAAATCGTATGAGTTATATATTTAAGATCACTTTTGTCCTCCACTATATTCTATTTTAATTTCTTAACTCTTCATGCAAAATTTGTTTTTGTTTTTTGGTAAATTTCAAACCTTTAACAGTTTGCGATCATCTCCAAAATCAATAGGCTTATATTCTGACCCTAACCCCAAACCCATTTTCAATTTCGCGCCATAATTGCTACCTGTAGCGTGATTACAAATTAGCATGGACACACGTACAGACGGACGGACATACATAGCTAGATTGACTCAGCTCGGTGCGATAGAACGATCCATATATAGTTTCCTATGCGCAGGACCAATATTTCGAAATTTTACATAATGTTTGGCCCAATCAAACTTATAATACCAAGTCATGGTTTTGCAGGGCATAAAAATACTAATATATTACTTTCATAAAAAATTTGTACATTTTTAATTCTATCCCTAAAAGTATACTACAATCAAGGTGTCGTTAATATGTATATTATAACCAATATTTACTTATAATTTTTGGATCAGCAGTTATTTGATTTTCTTTTCTGTTTGAAGTTTAAATATTGACTTTGGCTTGTTGAGGTTGGGTACAATATATTACAACAAAAATACCGACGTAAATGCTTTTGAATCACCATCGCACCGTGGCTCCATGAGTATGGGAATGCGGAACAAAAATGTTTTAAAGAACTAAGCGATCGACAATATTTTTTTTTTTTTTTTGAGATGAGTAAAAAATAATGAACCCAAATAATGTTTATGTGTAGTGTGGCCACATAACGTTACCCTCTGGTTTAAAAAAAAAAATATGAAGATTTTAGGTAAATTTTTAATTGAAATAGACCGAAATTTGGCATGTGGTGTTTTTTATGGATACCAGACGTTTTTGCAAAATAATGTTAATATGGTTCAAAATTTGATAAAGCTCCCATAGAACCCAAAGACCGGTTTTACTTAAAGTATTTTTTTTTCAATTTTGTATATGGTGAGATGAAAAAACTGCAACCAACTTTAGACTGCTGACATTTCTAAGCCACTCGTCCGACAGATGTTAAAATTATTCCAGTGACAGCTCATTATATTGTTTACAAGCGTACAAAAGGATTTGGGTGAGAATTTTCCAGAAAAAAAGTTATTCGTGATTGAATTCAAGCGTGATAGTGTGATTTCTTTATATTTAGCTGGAGAACCACAAGTGGCTATCGTTAGAGCACTCCAGCAGTTAAATGTGAATAAATTTTTTGTGTCTCGAACCATCGCTCGTTACGGGTAGTGGTACTGGTAGCGTAGCCCGACCCGGGTCAAGGAAGTGGACGGAAGAAAACAGCAACATCAGCAGAAATGGTTCGAAAAGTAAAGAAGCGACTTGATCGAAACCAGCGTCACAGTGGCCGCAAAAATGGCTCGTGAGCTGAACATATCGC